ATTGCTTCACACAAGATGTAGAGCTTTCTTAATTTCTAATCACTTTGGGTCCTCTGTTCTTCTGATGGCTGTGGAGGATAAAACTCAGAACCTCCTACAGTTCAAGTCTTTACTGCATTATTTTTTTCACCTGCCCAGTGGAGCAGTGTAAAACTGCTGCCCTTCTGAGACATCAGCTGAAATGTTAGCAAAAATCTGAGTCCTGCATCCTTGGTGAATTGTTGCTGAAGAGTGCATCCAAGACATTTATATTTGATTTAATTTACTTTATTTTTAATTGATTGAGGTAAGAAAACATGGTCAGGGTTACCAAATATCAGCAGAGATGTACAAGAATAGAAGAAACAGCTTTTTAAGGAGTGCTGACTGTATAAGAACACTCATCCATGCAAGGTGTACATAAAGTACTTTGTCCTGGAGTGTTTAGTGATAAGCTTGTGGTTTTTTAGTCATTGAGGGAAAATAAAGGATGTGTTGAGCAAAAATGACTTACAGCATTAGTGAAGATTTTCAAGGGTGCTGAATTGAAGAAAATTCTTTCCAGAACAATCTCTGTTGCCAAATTTATTTCTGTGATGGATTATTTCTACTAATAATCCATTTCCAAAGGTTTGGAAAATTTTCAGTTTAGAAAACTACTTACAGTCAGTAAATTTTTATCTTCTCTGATAATGGTTTGGAGGGTAGCTTGGCATGTTGTCTCACAACAAAACTCCTTCCATGATCCATGATGTGGTAAATACGATGCTTTCTTCCCTTTAGATCCATTTTTGCAAGCCCTTCAGCTGCCACCAGGGCAGACTGGCAGCATAGCCCATGCTCAGCAGTGAAGTACAGTTGTTCTTTACCAAGAGTTGTTTTTTGGTTCATAATGTGCCTTTTTGCCAGAATCCCACTATATATATAATTGCCCAGTTATTAAAAAAGAAAAATATCTGTAACCCACAGTTGATGCTTCATTTTTATTTCAGTTTGTTATGTAGCTTTAGAATTGTTTCCTTTAGAATTCCTTTAGAATGGCTTCCTTTTTTATGCCGTTTTCTGAAGCTGATGGAGTTTCTGCTGCTCCTGATGAGCTCAGCTCAGGTATCGTTTTCTGAAGCTGCAGGATTTGTCTGGTGTGTTCTGTACATAACAGAACAACTGTGAACCTGGTTGTGTTGATTGTTAATGGTTATTTGGGAGCATGAAGCTGGTGTTTATGTATCGTGAAGTTGCTTTAAGAAGTCTCTGTATCCAGGTTTTTTTCATCCTGAATTGAAATTTTTCAGCTTACATGCAATCTGCTAGGCTTTTTCTCACAGCCACTGAGGAAGACGTAACAGAAAACTGTTGCTGAGGATAGAACTCTCAATATCACTCAGATTGTTAAATTCACTGTGTCTTCCTTTCTTTTCTATTAGCAAACACCTCTTTCTCATGCAGAACAAGCTGTTGAGTGTCACTCTAGACTGGAGTTTGGGTCATCTTGTGACCAGCCTAGGATTTGTTGTGTTGGACCTGTTGGGAGACCAAGCCTCTGTCTAACCTGAAGCTGTTGCATCTGCAGTCCTTTAAATTAAATGTTTCTCAGGATTTGGTTTAAGGTTCCTACTGCTTCCCATGAGGCTTATGGAATATTTATATTCTAATTTATTGTGGAGAGTTTGAAAACAAATGGTTTGAGAAGACTTTATATAAAATAAGCTCTTATGGGTTATAAAGTAAAGATCAGCTATATTTGTATTGTACATTAATCACTTCTTTCTTTGTTGTTGGTCTCATTGACTTTTTCTGCCAGTTTAGATATATGGCTGCCTAATTTTTAAGGTCTTGCTCTTCCTGATAGAAATTCTTTGCTTTTGTGGATTTTAAGGGAAGAGGACAAAAAAAGGCACAAGGAAAAAAACCCCAAGTGTTCATATTGTAGGATTTTCTTTTAGTGTTATAATTTTATTTTTTTTTAAGCAGGCACTGTTTGTCTGCTCATGTTAAACAGATCCTGAAAAGCTGTTCAAGAAATACTGGCTCTGCTTATCTTTAAATAAAGAAATCTCTGGTCATTTCTCTTTTGAGAATTATGAAAGATTGAGAAGATTGGATACTCAAAAAAGTGAATACATGAGTCGAGTGAAAACAGCTATGGTGGCAGGGATTTGTAGCTGATGTAGCTTGTATTTGCCCTTTGAAATTTGTTGGGGTGTTTTGAAGATTTAAAGTTTTTAAACTGCTTTTTTAGTAATTTCCCTTCTCATAAGATAGACATTTTATTGTGTGTGTAGGAGGGAAGGGAATAGTTCTGCCATTATTTAAGGGAGAGGTTAAATGCTTAGATAAGAATCTGATCTAAACATCACAACACTTCAGAAGTTGTTAGTCTGTTTCTATCATGCGTTTTCCTAAGTAGAATTGACAGAACAGGTGGGATTCAAGCCATACTCCCCCTTTTCAAGGGTGATAAGGCAGGGTGGCCCAGGTTTTTTAATTTAAAATCTGAGATGATTTTATGAGAAAGATGGAAAGCCCCTGGTAATTTGATCTTCTCTTTTTTTTTTGAAACTAATCATGTGATGGTTTATGCTAACAGATGTTCCCATTTCTTGTCTTCTCTTACTAAATCTTGCATCTTACCCAGCCTTGCATCATGTCTTAGATAATGGACTTGGGAGTTGCACTGAGTACCCTCAAATAACATTCTGTCATTCTCAGTTTGAGCTTTTGGGTACTACAGTAGTGCAGATACTGAAATTACACTTTTCTGTGATAATTGTGCACTGAACTATGCTGTTCTTTTCCTTGTCAGTCTGGTTGTTTTCTTTCCTTCACTTGTATGACTTTGAACCCTAACTGATACTAAGTGTCACGTAGCAATGAAGGTTATTTACCATCTACCTAATATAGATAAGCTATGCTGGCAAGCCAATGGCAACTCATGATGTTTTCTTCTGCCAAGGTGGATGTTCTGTTAAAGCGGAGCTGGGCAGTGGCCTTTGAGAAGGATGGTGTCACTGTTCCCAGACAGAAATGCTTAGGGAAAATGTCTGAAACTTTTATCTCCTGAACTCAGAGTAGGTTATCATTGTTGACTCTGTTCTGGCTGACTGTGGATAATGTTTCAGGTTATGGCCTGATGTGGTATTTTTGTTTGTTTGTTCTTATTCTTATAGGCTCTGTGTTACAGACGAAAGGAGTTGTAATGAGGTTATTAAAGTCTGGTCTGTTTTCTAAGTAAAGGAGAAAGTAGAGCTGCTCTTCATCACTCCAGTTCATCATGCTCTGTATTTTTACTGTTGAATTGACTTGGTAATTTAACACTTCTTGAAATACAAAGTGCTGGAGTATAATATAGGGAGACTGTAATACAAATTTGTTCAGTTCTGCTTTAAAACCAACACACATTAAAGGCAGCATCTTACAGACGGCTCAGATCAGCTCTGCTCTTTAAGAGAACGCTTTGGCAAGTCTGTAATTTCTGGTGTTAAGGTGTTCCAAGCTGGTACAGTATTTCAGATGTCAGTGTTTGAATTGTAAATAATGTTTGGGACTGCCTGGCATGCTGTTATTCATGTAGCTCCACAAACACACTCTAGCTGTGCATAGCGAAGTTCTTAGGAAAAGTGAAACTGTTGGCATAATCAAAATAGTTGTGTTAGCTAGTCAAATGGAGAGAAGTTCTTGTGTTCTATTTTTGCCAGACTGCTTTTAAGTTATAAAAGCAGTGACTTCTGGAGGTGTTTTTTAAGACCTGCTGAATAAGGGTGTGCAATCTGCAAGAAGCCAAACGCGTGATCCAGCGTATTTGAATCTCAACAGCAGTTAAGTGAGCACCAGGACTATGCCCAGACATGAAGCTTTCAGACTAATGAGTGCCTTAGCAAGCAGGTGGATTTCTGTTTGAGGCTGTTGTGTGTTTGAACTTCATAACATTTAGTTCTTGCTATGACTGCAAACAGGAATTAAGACTCAGGTGTGAAATTAAATAATTATGGCAGCATTATTTGAATATAGACATGGGTTTAACATTTGGATGAAGCAGATTATTGGGTTTTGCTTCAGCCTTAGTGTTAGTGGCTGAGAGAACTGAAGGCATTTTGAGCTGTGTGCAGAGAAACAGTGAAATGATGAAATTGGGGCTTGACAGATGCATTGCGAAAGTCAGCAGTCAGCTTGCTCTGGCATAATGTTTGCCATCAGTGTAGGACTGAGATTAAATTGTCTGTTTAGGCTCTGAAGCACTGAGCTTTGTGTACCTGAAATTTAGATGGTTAAAACTAATGTGCTAATTTGTGAACTACAGAAGTGCAAAGGAAAAGTATACCTCAGGTTGAATGGAAGGAACAGGAGGGATTGTTCCTTGTTGAGTTTGCACCAGTAAGAAATTAGACACACTTAGGACATACAAGTAAACATATTGGACCAAATTTTCAGAATCTCTCAGCTGCCAATTAATGCCACGACAACACTTTTTTGAAGTGGTTTTTTTTTTTTACTAGAGGCTGGCACATTCTTAAAAAAACACTATGGGAAGAAACTTCTAAGCTAATCTTCTGAGTGCTAACTGACAATGGATTAAATAATTTGAAATAATAAATGCTGCTGAAATCGTTGTTTCCTGTAGTGTGCTCTGTGAAAAATGTTCTGTGTTTTGTTATTGTAGATTGTGTCAAAGGGGGAAAACCCCTACTGCTGAAACCTCCTGTAAAAACAGTGGTTAAAGAGCTAGTGGAGAGAGATAAGTATATGCAAGGGCTTTAAATTTTTCCTAATTGCACTGCTAAGCACAGTTATTAATTAACCATTTTCCTGACATTAAATACAGTTTATAGTGATTTAAGTACATAAAGCATTTGAGATTTATATTTCTGTCAGGTGTGAATGTTTCATTCAGGTTTGTCTAATGGACCTTAACAGAGCTATATTTTTGTACTTTTCTGGGCTGTTTGGCTTGTGTTTTGTTATCTTTTTTTTTTTTCTGCAAGAAAAACATGTGGTTTGAAGAAGAACAAAACTCAAATCTTGAATTCTTTTCTTTCCTGTAGGTTCAGGTGCAAGTCCATCCTAAACTTTCCTCTACTGAAGATGCATTGCAGTATGTGGAGGAGTTAATTCTTCAGTTGTTAAATATGTTGTGTCAAGCTCAACCAAGAAGTTTTCTGGATGTAGAGGTATGGAGGACACTTATTACAATGTTATTAGAAATTATTTGAATTGTTACATGAAAGCTGCTCTATTAATCATTTCACAATGCAAAAAGGAAAGCAGTAATTATGTATCTTATGTAGCAGAGCCTTCTGCATAAAGCCTACGGAGTTCCCTAATAGCTCATTTTCCTATCAATTTAATTTGTTGTTCAATGCACAGCAAAACTGTCTGTGAGCTGTATTACTTTTTAATAGCTGCTGAATGTAAATTTCGTATATCAAGCTGACTTGTTCCTTTCAAAAGACCTTTTTTCCCCTCACTGATACTGTATGCAAATTACAGCTGCTTAGTCTGAGGCTCTGTGCTGCTTTCTCAGCATGGTAATTTGGGTTGATATACCCCCTGCTGTCCCAGAAATTAAAGCAAAAATAGTTCAGTCACTTTTTCAGAAGGAGTTTAGGAACACTTTTTTCCTCTGTACAGAGGCTTCATCTCTTCCCATTGCCTTTTCAAAGACCTACAGCCTCTGCTGCTCAGCAGAGCAGCTTAATGTTTAAGAAGAGAGGTTGAGCTGAAGAGTTTTTCCATCAGAGGAACAAATCAGTGAAGCTGTATCACTTAGACTTCTGTCCATGAGTATCTTGGTAGCAGTTGGTGCTTAACCATGGTTTAAAGACTTTGGTGCCAAGCTGCAGACTCTGTGTGCTGTGTGCCAGTTGGTTTCCAGTGCTTGGGGCCAGGGCCTGTGCCAAATGACTTCCTCACCTTCTGGAGAAGGTGGACTAATGGCAAATAAAACCTCACAAACAAACAACTCTAAAAATGTGGCTGTCTTTAGAGCTCAAGACTGATGAATTTCATACTTCTTCCCTTTTAAACACTGACACCTCCAGTGGTGTTCCAGTATCCCCTTTAATGGGTGACCTGTTTTCCAGCATCATTCTGGTCTGGCAGCTCGAGAGACAAGAGCTTTGGGAAAGGTTGTTTAGTGCTGTTTTAAACAACACTGACAAAAAACTCGAACAACACTGAGAAAAACTTCACACAAAGTGTTGTATTATGAGTCTGTGAAGACAGGAGAAATGCAAAAAGTAGAGATAGATGATCAAGCAACCACCTTCTACCCCCTTGGTGTTTATGCACAATGATGCTATTTTTAATTATATGATCAAACATGTTTATTTTTCCGCTGGGACACCTTCATTGTTCAGTCAACAGACTAGGAGTGTGAACTGGTATTAGATAGTGAATCAGATCTTTTTTTGGTAGGACCTCTGCTTTCTGTTTGCCAAAGTGTTATGGGGGGAAAACAAAAAAAAGCCTGCACTTTGAGAAGTTGGGTATTACCTTTATAGAATAGTATTCTGTCACTTTGTTGTTGTTAGAAAGTTTTAGTTTGTGTACTTTTTTCTGTACCAGCTCTCTGTAAGTGGTCATTAACTTCATCTTCCTCATTTCATGGTTACTCAAACAGGAGCTATATTTACATAAGTGAGCACTTGCAACTGAAACAGTCAGTGGGAACTGTGGTCTGAAAAAATAAAATGGGAAGTGATGTGAGAAAATAAATTTCTGGTATCTGTGAATACTAGGGCTGCAAAAACATGGCAAAGCTTTTGAACCTCCAGAGACCAGACAACAGATGTGTTGTTCAATGCATGGGAGTGTGCAGGTGTCCTCAGGCACTGCTGGAAGGAGTAAATAAACTGGGCCATGTCTGGTCCAGTTTATTGCCTGAAACTAGTTTAGAATATGTGGGTGCTGTTGGACTTTTTCTTCTCCTTTTATGTTTTCTGCCATCATCAGAGCAGTTTGCATGTGTACAGACTGGACCATGTGCTGAGCAGTAAAAGTGAAACAGAAAGCCTGTTATCATTTCATTCAGTGACCATCCTGTACAGGGAATAAAGTGCTAGGAGAAAATGTAGGCAGGTATTTAAATGCTGAATTGCCAGGAGTGTGCACAAGGGGAGCAAACTGTGCCTTCAGTTGCAGCTTAATTCTTAAATTTTGAGCACTAGGTAATTCTAGATAATGATATGTGAAACAGCTGTATGAATGTAATGAGCAGTGTGTCCCAAAATTATAGCATTTACACATCTAGTATAAGCTTTTATAGTTGAAGTACAAATACTAGCAACCATTTTTTGGTTAAGTGATAGAGAGCAGTTTGATAAGACAGTGACATTGCTGAGATCATTCAGATGGTGCATTTACCCCTTGGTCATGTTTTCTTGTCTTAAGGATCGTGTTCAAAAAAGTTTCCCCCATCCTATTGATAAGTGGGCAATAGCTGATGCCCAGTCTGCTATTGAGAAGAGGAAACGAAGGAATCCGTTATCTCTTCCGGTAGAAAAAATCCATCCCTTGTTAAAGGTAAGCAGTGATAGAATCTTGCCTTCAGAACACAGTTAGAGGTCAACCCCTTTGTTTCATGTAATGTCTACCTGAACTGTGAACTAAAAGAATTAAGAATATCTGTGTTTTTTGCATAGTTCTAAGTGTTCCAGTTAATGGAATATACTAATTTCTGAGTTAAAAATCACTCAATTCTCTCTTCGACAAACAAGGCCAAGAACTCATTGTATACATTTGATTGTTTGTGTTTCATTTTCCATGACTAAGAAAACAAGCAAGAAATTTGTGGAAATGGCCCTAAATGTTTAAGTGAGGTTTTTAGGACAGTTAGTTGGCTCTTGACACTTCCACATTTAATAGAGGAGAATCTCCAATTCTTCTCTGTTTCTTCTGTAGGCCTACACACTCCTGTGTTTCTGTTCCTGAAATAGGCTGTGGATATGGGATGAATCTTTATTGAGCAGGGTCTTAATCTTAGTGGTTTGAGTTGTAATCTGCAGTGTCTGTTTCATCAACTGAGTAACAGTGTAATGCTTTTTTGTTTTCTTTTTTATTTTCCCTCTTTTCAGGAAGTTCTAGGCTACAAAATTGACCACCAAGTGTCTGTTTACATAGTAGCAGTATTAGAATACATTTCTGCAGACATTTTAAAACTGGTTGGGAATTATGTGCGGAATATAAGACATTATGAGATTACAAAACAAGATATTAAAGTAGCAATGTGTGCTGATAAGGTAAGCCCAACTCTGGTTTGTCAAGTTAACAAACAACTAATGCTGTAGGTAGTTTTGAGAGGACAGTATCTTTTTCTTAGTGAGTACATGGAATGTTGTACCTTCTAAAAAGAAATTAGTGTCATAAAACGTGGTTCCAGTAATGGAACAAAACTACCAGAAACCTAATTGAGCTTATAAAGCTCTTACTTGTGCTTATTAATACTTAAATTTCTCTTTCTCTTGATTGCACCTGCCTAATGTCAGCAACATGTGGATACTTTAATAATGACTGTAAAGCAGCACTAACTTCAGACTGTATTGCATGTGAAAAGTTGTGTTTCAATGGGTCAAACAAAATCCCCATCTCATTAGCATCTCAGTCCAGTTTTCCTCAGTAGTGAGACATGAGCCTGGTGAATATAGCATGGAATCTCCTAGCAGTGTGCTGGAACTGTATCTGTGAAGGAAAGTTAGTTGGTGGGGTCTCCTTGAATACTTGGATTACTCCATGTAATTCCTACAGTAGTGATGCTGTAATGTCCCATTTCCCAGAATTAGTTAGGCTTCATGCAAAATGTCCTGCATTTTTCTGCTTTTATCGAGTCACTGTAATGAGTCCTGGCTCAGATACCACATTTGGAAGAATGTTCAGTGATCCAGTTTTGTTGAGAACTTTAAATTATTGATTGCTTGCGTTTGGTAAATCTTGCTGGGTATGAATTGAGACCTCTGGTAGTCAGAGTGTTTAGAGTTCCTGTTGTCTGTGTAATTCTGCAACAGGACTGGTTTCTGAAGCTGGTGCCCTTTCTCAGGGGTTCATTTTAACAAGAGAGCTCAGGAATTAAGGACAGAAAGTGGGCCATGTACAGTCTGTGGACAGGCCAGTGTTCATTGCAGATAGATCACAGGGTTCTGAGCATCATCATGTCTGACTTCCTCGTAAAACTAAAGCTGAAAAGCCAAAATACACACACCTTTTAATTTCAGACAGTATCTTCAGAAACTTAGATTGTGTACTGCTGATCCAGAGAAATAGAACACAGCTAAATGCTAATTGTTTTTGTGTACTTCACCTTTTGAAGTTGTAATTGATTTTAAGACCATGTTCTTGGAAAGATTCCTGGGTTTATCTAAGTGATTGGGAGTCTTCAGAAATTGCCCTCAAATAATGACTTGCAAATTCATTGCAATGGATATTGGTTTTGTAATGCTCAGCTGATTGCAGGATGTTAATATATAAATCTTATGTTCTATATCTGCTGATTAGTCTGATTTCATGGCAATAATAGGTTTTCTTTATTGCTAACTCCCTGGTCAATCTTGAAAAGGGATTCTCACTTTGTGGATTTCCCTCTCTTTGCTGCCTAGGTATTAATGGATATGTTCCATCAAGATGTAGAAGATTTAAGTGCACTAACTTTATCTGATGAAGAACCCTCCACCTCAGGGGAGCAAACCTATTATGACCTAGTGAAGTCATTTATGGCAGAAGTTCGACAATATATAAGGGAACTGAATCTCATTATCAGAGTTTTTAGAGAGCCATATGCCTCCAACTCCAAATTGTTTTCATCTCATGTAAGTATTGTACAAACCACAAGCACAAAAAGCACTGTAATATCTATAAATATAGATGGATACTTCCCAAACTTAACTGTTGTTGAATTTAATGTATCTAGTAGAAAAAGCACTTTTCTTGAGTTTTGAAATGGAAATAGTAAAAGAGCATTTGCAGGTTTTGTACGACTGTGGAAGAAACCTTCTCATTTACTTATGTTCACTTACAGGCCTGTAATTTTAAGATTTGTCACTGTTCTTTGCTATGTTTCAATAATGTACATTTTATATATTTATATAAAATATTTTTAAAATACACGTTATGATCTTACATAAATCACGGAAAAAGTGTATTACAAAATGATTGTAAAATCTTGTTCTATTTAAGGAAGTTCTTCACTTTTACACCAGAACAGAGTAGCTTTGCACATTTGACTTTTGTTTTGTTCTGTTGCAGGATGTAGAAAATATATTTAGTCGTATATCAGACATCCATGAACTTAGTGTGAAGTTACTGGGTCATATAGAGGACACTGTTGAAATGACAGATGAAGGTAGTCCTCACCCACTAGTAGGCAGCTGTTTTGAAGATATGGCAGAGGTGAGAGAATGGGGTTGGAGATTTTTTTTTTTATTTTTTTTTTTTATATATTCATATTTTAATGCTTGCAATTAGATCTCTGTTCTAGCTGGCTTTCTTCAATGTGAGGTCTCTTCTTCCAACCTCACTCTGATGAAGGGACTATCCATTTTTTAAAGTTCTCTTTTCACTCTCTAAATCTCAGCTTTTAGAGTGGCTGTTTAAAGTTCAGAGAGAGGAGGTGAAAAATAACAACACTGGTGAGGAGGTTCCTGTAAAACTAGAAGCTGGTCAGCCTCTCCTCAGTCCCTGAGAAGATCAGCAGATCTTCCTGGACTTCACATCCAGCCATGTGAAGGACTAGAACGTGGCTGGCAAAAGCAAACACAGATTTCCAAGGGACAGACTGTAGCTGTCCAACCTGGCTGTTTCTGGAGTGGTGGCTCTGTCCGTGGACGAAGAGATGGGCAGTTATTATCTCTTACCTGAACTAAGCAAGGCCTTCAGCACAGTCTGTCATGGCATGGCTGGGATGCAGCCTGGTTGGTTGAATTGTAGAACATGGGCAGTTGGCTGAGCTGTCAGGCTTTTGAAGGATTGTTATCAGCAGCACAAAGGTCACCTGGAGGCCAATGGTTGCCAGCATTCCTCAGGGTTTGATACTGTTTAATGTCTGTATAGGTGGTGTGGAAGGAGGTTGCCTCATCTGGTGGGTAGGTGCTGGCAAATTGTGGGGGGACACACAGGAGGACAGAGCTGCTGCTTGTGGCACCTGACAGGCTGGAGAAATGGACCTCTGGGAGCCTCCCAGAGTGAGTAAAGGCAAACAAGAAATTCTGCACGTGGGAGCAAACAACCCTGTGCATTGTCTCTGCTGCTGCCTGGCTGAGGAGCAGCAATGCTTGCCAGGGCAAGGAGGACCTCAGAGATAGGATGTGAAGGCTAACTAGATCCTGGGTTATGGAATGTGTAACTGGCAGTTTTGAGTAGAACTTGAGACCAAATCTGGTGTACTGTGTCTGGTTTTGGGCTTTCTGGTACTGGATAGGCAAGATGTACTTGTAGTGAAGGTTGCCATGATGATTAAGAAGTTGAGGCCCGCAATGTACAAAGAGAGTTGAGACTGCTGGGTTTGTTGATTCTTGAGAAGGCTGAAGCAGGAGATCTTACTGCTGTCTTTAGTTACCTGAAGGGAAGGTGTGAGGAGGCAAATTCTTCTCAGTTGAGAACTGTGAGATGAGTAAGAACGTGAAAATGGCAAAAAGATTAATCTTTATTTGATACTGGGGGGACTGGGGAAATTTGGAATGAGAACAGTTGAACCTTGGAATAGGCTGCCCAGAGAGGCTTTTTTGCCTCTGTTCTTAGAGTTAGAACTCAACAGGGTGAGACACCCCGAGCATTCTCAGCCAGCTTGACTGATGAATCTGTCTTTGGCCCTGAGGTGGACACTGCTTTGAGCAAAGAGTTGGACCAGTTGACTTCCAGAGGTCTTTTTTAGACTGATTTAATCTATGAGTCTGTGCACGTAAAAGTATGGATTCTTCTCTATGGGTGTTTTGGGAAAAGTACACAGAAAGCCTCTCCTATATAGGATATGTATTTTCTAAAAGAAATATGGAAGTTTAGTTGTTAAATCAGTCTTGTAAACTGATGGAATGTCTGTCCATAGCAGGGTGGTTGAAACTAGAAGTTCTCTAAGGTCCCTTCCAACCCAAGCCATTCTGAGATTCTGTGATTGTAAAATTGTTCTGTATCTCTTTTTAGGAATTAGCATTTGATCCGTACGAATCATATGCACAAGATATTTTGCGACCTGGGTTTCATGATCATTTTCTAAGTCAATTATCAAAGCCAGGAGCAGCATTTTATTTACAGGTAACTTGCCTTTAAGTAAGACAAGTTGTTGATATTACTATTTTAATTTCATTGTCTTGTTGCTTCAGTACATGTGTTGTTTTAAGACTGAAACTTATTTTGTTTCTAGTCAATAGGTGAAGGCTTCAAAGAAGCTGTTCAGTATGTTCTACCCCGGCTCCTCCTCGCCCCTGTTTACCACTGTCTTCATTATTTTGAACTGCTAAAAGTAAGAATGTTGCATAAATCTGATGTGTTTGGGTTTTTTTTTTCATGGTTCTCGGTGTTAAGTGTGAGTTTTGTGTGCTCAGTTAGGTGTAAAATCTTTTACTAGAATGTGAATAATAAATCTGCTGTGTTGAGAGAAAAGCAGGCTGTGTCTTCTGCAGGTGGATGCTATAATTAACTGAATATCAGCTGATAAATTATTTCTGTTGAATAATTTTTCAATCTAGAAAGCAGTAGAGATCCACAGACTCCTATTCTTGGAATGATTATTTCAACAGTGCTAGGAGATGATGGCACATGGCTGTATTACAGAAAATGTCCAAGCCTTTCTCAAGTTGTTACTTTGTAAATTGGAAATCACAGCAAGAGTCCCCTTCAGGCTTTATTCTATTTTAATAAAAGCTTCAGTGTTCTTGGGGTGCACATCCCATGGGATTGTAAAGGTGATATCTTTCCTTCAAAGGGAAGGCTTGGTTAATATTTATACTTGGCCTATTTGTAATTAGACCTTACATTGATAGGGTAACAATAGCATACACATATAATAGCTGCAGAATGTTTTTTTCTGGGTCACTTATCAGTATGGCATAATGATCTTTAAGGAGTGTAAAGCATTTTGAGGAAAACTTTCCAGTAAGAGCTTCTTTTGTGCTTAATGGAAATTCATAAGGCAAACAGTATTCCAAACAACGATTTATGGAAATTTGGATCAGAAGTAAAAACAGAACAAAAAAACCCAAACAAAAAACCAAAACAATATTTAAGAAATCAGTTGTATTTCCTTGAATGTTTGGTTGGTTGTCTTTGGATAAGCCAATACTTCATCTTTAAGCCCAAGTGCCTACAGCTGTAACTCCATTTTTACTGATTTAGATCTACACGTACACCTTGGCACGCAGCACATCTTGTATAACATGCTTCTTGAAAAATTTTGGGAAGTGTGCTTGATCTGTTTGTCTCATTCATGGGTTTGGTCTGACTTCAGACATCTCTAAAATATTTAGCATTTCCTTTCATGGCAGTCCATTGGAAGGGAGGTTTGACACAGCTTGTTTGCATTTTGTATGATAAGGACCTGCACAGACATAAGGTTTCTCTGCTGACGCTGTTATCACACAGTCTCAAAATGCAGTACTGAAGGCTTTGCATACTTCCATGTAAACATGGCACTGTATTACCTAATGGACAAAGCATGAAGGATTAATCTTGTCTGACACCCAGCCATCCTGCTTTGCTTCTTGCCACTGGCAGTTTTAGGGGGGAAAGGAGAGCATATGTGTCTATGCACAGGGAGCAGCCCGTGTTCTCCTTTTTTAGGGCAGACTGGAGTCTAAGCTGACCTTCCCCCTCCAAAGTTTATCAGTCTTTTTGCAGCCCATAACCTGTGCTTTCTTTTCACATTCATGCTCTACACATACAAACACACAGAACTCCTCTACCCTGTGTCAGTGTGATATTGTTGGGCTGGATTTTATTCTGTATCTGATAATAACCTCCTGGGTTTTCTTCCCACTGTGTTGCTCATGTCACGTTTTAGTGGGACACCTGTCACTGTGGTCTGTCAGCACACACATATTATGTACACACAATAGGCAGTGATGGATAATAGGTGCACATGAAGAGAGAAATGTCATCTCTGGTGACAGCATCTTCAGCTGTCTATGAGTACATCAATGTGCATTCAGCATATGAATCCCCGCCTCAAGTAGTCTTTGCTAGCAGTAACATTTTCTTCCTCATATCTGGAATCTTTGAACAGATTCCAGCTTGATTTTTATCTGCCACAGAAGGATATTGGTGCAATTATTTAGCCATATCGTCCTGACAGTTCTACTGATACAAGGTTGTATTGAATTCTCTTTTATGGTTAAGAGGTCTGATTTAGTGATTGCAGGCATGACTATGAATAATCAAGTTAAAAATGCTATGAAAATGTACCTCTTGTTATGAGGAGACATAATGTTGGCAAAGTAGCATATGGACAAAACATTTGAATTTCTCTTGAATATTGATGTACTTAAGGATAGAGAGGTTAGCATTTATCTTTGAGCTGTGTTGTACAATGTTGCATATGTTGAAGTAATCTATTTAAAATGCGTTTCAGTTACCTTCTAACTATGCAGACTACAAAAAAAAAAATTAAATTTCTATTCACTAAATGTTAGCCTATTTAGAAACTAAAGCCCTCCTGAAGTTGGACAGGGCACCAGGAATGCACAAGTGCATATTCTATTTTTAGCTGAATCTTCTTGCTGTTACATTGTTGGGTAATTAGCATAGGACTAAGAGCTGTGTTTTCCTTCAACCAACCTGAATGTCATTAAACTTGTATACAGGAATTATATAAAATAAAAGCTTTGTGTGAAATAGCACTTTTCTGCAGATGTGCAGATAATAAATGAGCTTTTCTAAATCATAGAATCATAACTATGAGCTTTAGTAATTGAAGAAAGAGGTTTTCAAGACCTTTGAATTGATTGGGCACTGTTTCAAATGCTGCACATTTGTATGCATGTATGATACTCTTTCATTGGGTGAATGGATTACTTTAAAGTTCTTTTTTTCCCAAGTAGAAATGCTGCAAAGCATATGTAAACTTTGCTTAAATAAAACAGTATGTTCTGGGAAACAGGAGAACTTGATAGGGATTTTGTGTGCTTGGGATTTTTTTAAGCCAAGTGCAGACTTGAGTGCTATGACTTATGAATGGTAACTTATTGTCTCTTTACTAATATATTTTAATTGGGATTTTATCTATAATGCACTAAAAATCTCAGGATGCTCTCATTTCACAGCAGCATCTATTATGTTCTATTAATTTTTTTTTCAAACTTTGTTCTTAGACGATAAGTAACTTTTTAGGTTTTACTGACTGGCAATTCAGCTCAAGTAGAAATACTCCTCAGTTGAACCTTTTTGTCTTCCTCTTTCACCATGCTAATGATAAAAATAATAATTCTTGTTTGGCAAGGTCTTTCAAGATGATAACCTCTCCTTTTCCCAAACTGTTGGTATTAAATTTGTTACATGTTGCTGAAGAAGAAGGCACAAGGTAGTAAAATGTTAGTTTAGGTCTAGAGTATCTTGATCTTGATCCCTTAAGTTTCTTGCTGTTTGTTTTGTTGGCAGCACATCCCAAAATATTTTGGGCTTTGACTTCACTTTGATTCTCAGCCTTGGTGTCTTGTTCCAGAGTGTAACAAATTGAGTGAATTTGATTTGCAATCCCATCTGTAAGTGGTGTAACCCAGCCCAGGGTGGAGAATCAAAGTGTTAATTAGTTGAACTTTGTCAGTCTGCAAAGGTTTTACAATATCTGCAATTATGGATCATCGTCTCACAGCACTGTCTGGACTGCTTGTCCTCAGTACCAGCACTGTGATTAACAGGTTCTGTTGCTTTAGTCAATTTGCAAAATACCCTTTAATTACTGTTGAAACCAGTGAATCATGGATTTGAACTAGCTGTTAATTTTTTTAAGAAAGTACTCACTTAATATCACTTTTTCTTCAGTTCTTCTTTCCAAAGACAGTAATTTGTATGCACAAGTATGCTGTTTGAAATAAAATAAAAAGCAGAAGTATTACTGTTTTACATATCTTTGGGTATGCAACTGCAGATGTGGATTACTTATTATATCTACTGGAGATCATGTGCAGTTCTAGGTATCTGTGACAGATGAATGTCTGTGTGTTAAAGAAAGTGTAGTTTGACCAAACTTGCCAGTGTGTGATAAAGACTACACAGTGTAATGGGTGTTTCTTAGGACAAAAAGCTGGGGTGATGTAAAATTTGGTCTGAAGTCTAAGAAGAGGTTTCCTAGAATATGACTGTAGCTAAAAAAAATTAAGAAAATTCATATTGTTAAGCTAAGAGGACTTGTGTTACAAGTGAAATGTTGTAGAGGTACAGAAGTTGTGTCATATGTCTGGAGTTGATACAGCCAGGTGAAATGAGGAAATGAGATTCTGTACTTACTTCTTGCTTGTGGGGTTTCATTGACAATATTTCTTTTCTCCTTTAAGTGCTATGCCTTAAGTCAGTTGTGTGTTCCTCAGCCAAAAGGGAGAAGTTGACAGGGGAAAATAAAACTTTGTCAGACATTTGTGTGTGCGCGCACTTTTCCCAGAAACTTGATTATTATTAATCAAACTAATTGGTCCTTAATTTTCATTCTAGCTGTGGCACTTGTTGCTGTATTTCCTGTGTTTGTATCAGGTGAATCAATGCACGTGGGTGTCACTTCATTTGTCAGTGATTTATGTCATCTGTTGTGGAGTTCTAATGGGGCTGCATGTTTTGCTTTATAGAGTTTTTTCCTTATACACAGGATGTATCTGGGATTTTGAGAAGAATATATCTCTTTCCTGGAAATTTTCTAATAATTTCTAATAATCTCCTTTCCTTTCTAAATAGGTAACCCTGAGAATATTTTTTTTCTATTATCCCTCTAAAACTGATTTTCTGCAAAAACTGGATAAAATATAACAAACTGAGCATAAAATATTCCCTGTGACCATTTGCCTTACAGTCCTCAGTGGTGCTTGAGCTGTGGCAATCAATCCTGCTGGACCTGTAACCAGAAATGCTGTACTTTGATCCCTTGAGGCAGGAGTAGGATGTCACAGGGCCAGACTCCTTTGGGAAGTCAATGAAGCACGTCCTGAACTCCAGCCTTACGGCTTCACTTACGTGTTGAACTGTAGGGTTCCAAAGTCCTGTTTTCCAATCAATTTTCCAGAAACACCTGCATGGCAAATGCTCTGTAGTCCTGTGGGAGTTAAAGAGCTGTATTAGCTGATCTGTTCCCACTTTTCAGTGGCTGCTGTTAGTGATGGTGAAGAGCTCTTCAACTTCCATGGCAGCAGCTTGTGCTGAACACCCAAGGCCAAGCTCCCATGAAAATGGATGGGTGTTACAGGAACTTGCACAAATTTTTATGCTTTTTTTCCCCCCTCTAAATAAAAGTTTTGACAAAATCCATCAAGGATTGAATGTTAA